TTTTTTTTTTTTTTTTTGATTTTGAGAAAACCGCATAAATTCTCCCAGTGTTTTGACAAAACTAAAAATTCCGTTTGCGAAGAAAATTTTATTAATGTTAAGAATTTTGCAGCTCTGCGACTACCATTTTGCGTGGACAGAGACAGACTGGTCCACAAGTAGAATTGAAGGCTTGTGTCAAATACAACATATCAAATAAGAGAAGAATCACTTACCGATGGAACAGATTGTTCTCGGCGATCAGTATGTAAAAATTCGTCAAACTATCGCAACTCATAACAATAACTATTAATATTCACAAGTGTAGCTGCTTATTTTCAGATCTCTTTGGACGCAAGAAGAGCTGGCAGCAAAAGAACACAGACAGCGATAAACATAAAAACATTTTTAGCTAAAGTACTATTAAGTAGCTTTTGTTAATAAACGACAAATAAAAACTGAATGCAGAATGAAACCAGTCAAACAACAAAAAGATGCAGTACTAGTGTTTAACTGTTGGACAGACCATTACTCAATGTTGCGATAACACCTTCCATCAGAGATGCTATTTTGGTAAAGTAAATTTCCCGAATTATAAAGCAGCAATTTGCTAAAAAAGGAACCCAAAACGCTACAGCATTGTTAGCCCGCAAATAAGTTTGTATTAATAAAAATATTACTTGAAGATTGGCCTGAGGGAATTCCAATGAATTCTAAACAAAATAATATTAAAAATCCTCTTTCAATTATTTTTTAGTTCGTAAGTATCTTAAATAGTTTTGGTTGACCAGGCAAACAAAAAAAGTAAATTCTGCTGCAAATCACAGACCAATTAGACAGTTCAGTACTAAGAGGATAAGCAAACATAACTCTTAGTAAAGCTCAATTACAAGCATCTCGACTGAAGCATATCAGAATAAAAAATGCGAGCAACTTCTGATACACGGAACTCCCCATGGCTAACAAAATTGTAAAGGTGTAATTATTCGCTGTAGCGGAATGCAACGCATGAGTGAGGGCGATTTTAAAAACTGGCTTCATTCCAAAAAGCGGGAATTTGAAGGATTTAAAATCTTCAAGTGCTAACGGCAATGTTATTTGCGACCTCCAACCAAAAGCTCGCTTTTGTAGTCGATTTACTGGTTTGGGTGAACAACTTTAGAGTTTGTGATGCTGTTGTTATCATTCGAATTATTTGTGGACTTCTCGGAAGGGTTTCTGTTTGTTACTTACACTTTAAATAACTGATTAAAACATTCAGAAGTTATTGTAACATGTTAATGCATTCAAAACGCCACTACTTAAGCGTTTTATACTTTTTCGTTTCAAATGTGGTTATTTTAAGAGTACTTAGTAATAAATGGTGCCAGTCACTTTAGCCGACTCATAATTGGGATTTGAGGCAGATTGACATACAGTTAAATTGTCTTAAATTTCTGTGACTTGTCAAGTTTATACAGTCTTTTCATGCAGTATTAGAATTCTCGGACGAATAAAATCCCAATTAGTGGAAGAGAACTAAGCATTTTTGTTTATCAAAACCGGCTTTTTTTCAGTAGTTAACAAATGATAGCGCATTGTAGGTAGATACTTTTTTAAACTGATTTGTTAAGAGAAATTAGCATATAAAACTTCTTTGAAAATCTCAGATCTCAGTGAACATATTCAACTTTTGATATTCAATTAAAAGGGTTCTGTTGAGGGAGAGGAAGGCTTAGGAGCGCCATATTGGTTTCGGTGTTGGAGCATATGTTGTAATGTTCCTTTCATTCAGTTGGGTTTTTATTCCCTCTTTATCACCATACAGTACAAATCAGGACACCAATTGAGGAATTCTATAAATTAGTCTAGTTTAGTGAAGAACTGAACAAGACCAATTTACAGAATTCTATATTCGACTACCGTTGCCAAAAAGATTATTCACTACAGAACTCGAGGGTGCTCACTGTTAAAGCAGCCAGCAAAGAGATCATAGGCACGCTGTTCGGCAGCTAGGCTTCATTCAAATTTGAAAGTATCGAAACTTTTGCACTTTCAATTTAAAAAAGTCTTTATTAACTTTTAGATACACTTTTAATCGCCTTATAAATCCTCATTGAATG